TGCTGGGTTTTTAATAGGTCTCTAGAAGAGGATCGAGGCATTTTATTGGAAAGGCCGACTTCCCTCACCAGAGAAGACTTTTTTTAGGTTTTTAACCCACAAACAGCCTGTAGATTATCACTTTATTCACTCTCCAGCCAGACTCAAGAGACAAAAACGCTGATTTTACCTCAGGGTATCATTTCAAAGCTTGTAACTTTATTTAAAGGTAGAGAAGAAACTAAATAAAACTCACTAAAACTGTCTTTGTTAGTCTTTTAACGTCTGGTTTGGTTTCAAATAGATCCTTTCACCTCACAGACGTAGAGGAGAAAACAGCAGTTTCAGTCGTACATAAAATGTGGAACATTTAGCAAGGTTAAAGAGGCAGATAGAAGCTTGGTGGAACCAAACTGGAGCTAAAAGAGAGTGAACAATTGACTAACATTGATCAGACTCCGTAATGAATGATAATGTTGTTTCAGTGTCTTGTTGGTGATACAAGCCATTGTTCTCAGGAGCTTTCTGTCTACGTGCCACTTAATGCAACTGTAAGTAATCAGACTGATTTGGGTCAAACAGACTCACTATCTGTACCAGCTTACCAGCCTTAAACTCAATCAGCTGTCTGCGCTTGCGCGCCTTCGGCTCTTCTTATGGTGCAGCAGCATTAATCGCAGAGTCTGTGGATCACCGCCCCACTTTCAGATTCATACCAAGAGAAAAAGGGAGTTAAAAAAGGCAAAATTAAGACCAAAAAACATGAAAATATCATGAAAAAAGCTTAAAACCCCATATAATTCTGTTTCACTGTGCTGGTTTCCTTCTCTTTTATGTGTTGCACGCAGAGCCGAGTTTACAGCTCCACATCTTGGACATGATTTCCACATATCTCTCTGCCAGACTCTCTCGTCGTCCAGAACCTCCAAGTCAGGAGAGTTCATACATATAGCGATTATATATACACTAATACAAACAAATCAAAGAAACAGAAATGAATCAAAAAAAATAAACTTTATTCTGTGCCTTTTTTATTAATATTACAGTACAGATGTGCAGTACTCGACACATTATAACTCTGATTCTACTACATTAGTTTGTTTTTTACTCACAGTTTTGAGTTTATGTTAACACAAATATAGATAAATTAACTGAAAATGTGTCAACAAAGGTCGTTTTTCAATCTGTAGTATACTGACACTTAAAGTAGTAAGAAGAAACAAACGTACATGAAAAAACATCATGAAAACATGACCCAGTGAATGAAATGCGTGACATGTAGTGATGTCTGTCTGTTTGCCGTGGTGAGGAGGTCAGAGGTCAAGTGCTGATGGCGTTTTTCCATTCAGGTCCCAACAAGCACAGTCGGCGGTGACGTGCCTCCAGTTCTGCCGAGGTCTCGTCTCACTCCAGCTCCGACGACGGGACGGTCAAGCACTGTGGGGAACTGAGGACCGGAGCCTGGCTGCGAGACGTGGTGGGCGCTGCAGAGCCGGGGATCCACGATCAGCCGCCACGGCAACGCGACACACGCACACGAACACACACACACACACACACACACACACACACACACACACCCTCGCTCTTACGTTCATCTGTTACAGATCTCTGAGTCTAAACCAATCACACGTCTTCTTTCCTCCACAGGCGGCGTCGTGTGGCGAATCAGAGCGTCCGACACTCGGCTGGTGTGCGCCGCCGGCAGCAGGAACGGGACGGAGGAAACCAAACTGCTCGTGCTCGACTTCGACCTGGAAGACAGGAAGAAAGAGACGGAGTGAAGTCGTCAAACGGAGACAGAAACGATGGCGATTGTTTTTTAAAAAATACTTTTTTTTTTTTTTTTTGTTTTTGACCAAAGTCGAGGCTGAATCCAGTTTCTCCAACAGTCAGACAGACGGTATGAATGTAACAACACGTCCTGGTTTTGGCTGGCGGACAAACGGACACGTTGAGACGGACGTAAGATCCTCTACGACCCGGATACCCGACGCGGATCGAGCTCACAATGACCGAAAGGAGGAAGAGGACAGTTTGAGGTTCGGCGTTTTAAGACGGACGCCGGCAACAATCAGCCGAAGCGAGTCCCCGAGCGGGAGCTGCGGCGACGCGAACGATGAATGTTTCCGGGACAGAAAACGCGTGGATGTAAACGGTTTCTACGGCAACGTGCGAATGTTTTGACTGGGCAGGCGAGTGGATGTACGCCGGCTCAGACGATGGCGGTTGAATGTAACCGGCGGCGGAGGGATCCATCCAATCGGGAGTGTTTGAGGGCATTGACTTTTTATTGCTGCTGAACCAATGAGGATGTTTTAAACAAACCAAATGTACCAAAATCTTGAAGGCCGGAGACACGGCAGGGGCGACTTGTTGAGGCAGCGCCGACGGGCAACATCCGTTAACTCATATTCAGTCAGTATTGTTTCATAACATTTTATCAGCGTCCTTTTTTTGGGGTGTTTTCCCCCCTCATAGTTGCAGCCAAAGTTGCCCGTCTGCGTTGCCTCTGAATGTTGTCGGCGTGTCTCGGCCCTGCAGTACTGTAACATACGTAGTGTTTGGAGCCGCGGCGGCGAAGGACACGCTGGTAGAACCACGGAAAGCGGGATTCAAAAGTGTTGTTTCCAATCCAGCAGAGACTTAAAAACCAGAAACTAGCCTCAACCAGAGCCTCACATCTGCAACACAAACCCCTCCCTCACTTTATTCAAGCTTTAAAGTAAAAAACATTATTATTATTATTATTATTATTATTACTCCAAGCTGCTCGTCACCTCTATAAACGTCTTAACTACACACTAAATCCCTCACAGACCTGCATGTGTCCATGATTTATGGGGCAGTCGTCCTCAGTATTCCTGCCAAAAGTGGACCCAAATGCAGAAAACGTGGTGGAGATATTCTAAATGCGCCGTAGCAGGAGAATCACAAGTGTTAATAATCAAATGAATGATGCCTTCAGGGTCCTGGTATTGTTGTATTGTACTGAAACACTTGTGTTTCTTCCTACTGTGACGGTGAAAAAAGGAAAATGTTCTTCAGATCTGTAGCTTTACTGAACACTAAATCACAGACAGCTTTTTGTTATTTTTCTGTGAACTTGCTTCACTTTTTATTCAACGAATGAGAGTTAAACTGTAAGAAAATGAACCAACTTTACTCTTAAATCTGCTTTTTAAATGACATTTACTCACCTTTTCCAGCTGATTTTTGTTATATTTTTGCTCAAAATTAAACTACAACAGATAAACTCTAACTAAAAGTGCAGAAAAAATCAATCTAAGGAAGCAAAGAAAGGTCAACTGACCATTTCATTGTGAAATTGAATCGAATAGTTATAATCAGCAATCGTGAGCTTTTTGTTCAGAACTTATTAGTTAATCCTGCAAAATGTACAATTACAGTCATTTCCTGTGAACTTTCTTTACATATTTCACTTTTTATTCAACAAACATGAGTTAACATCTGGAAAAACTGTAAATCTGTAAGAAAATTAACCAACTTTACTCTCAAATCTGCTTTTTAAATGATTTTTCCGGTGATTTGTTATATTTTTGCTCAAAATTTAAATCTTCAGCAGATAAACTCAAACCAAAACTGCATTGATTTAATCAACACTGAATCTGCATCTGAATTTATGTGATTTCTTCCTTTTTTTTTTTCACAATATACATTTAAAAAAAAATTAAAAATCAATTAATTTTGGCCTTTCCGTGCTTCCATAAAAAGCCCTTTGATTTGTCTGTTTTTAACACAAATCTCTGAAGGGTCACTCGTGTTTTCCTCAGCTAATGAAATATTTAACAAAAACAAGATAAATAATTTACTTCCCTTTTTACCAGATATTAATCCGATAAGCTGCCGTTGCCAGGCAACACCTCCAGCCAATAAGCAGAGATTCGGGTGATATTTCCCCCAGCAACAAGTCGTATTTCAGGCTTCCTCCTGGAAAAGTTGACCTTTTTGGGGGTGTGTGTGTGTGTGTGTGTGTATGTTCCAGGCTCTGGGGAGGCGACGCTGTCCGGGTGATGTCGTCATGTGTAAAATACTGTAAATACAGAGAGGATGTACATATTCAGCTTTTTATAAGAATGGAAAAAAACAGAGAAAAATATTGTTGACGGTGGGAAGAGGACCAGATGGAGGGATGAATATGGATCAATAAAGATGAGTTTTATAAAAAAGCTGGTCGACTCGTTTATTCTCTGAAGTGTCTGAAGTGTTTATGAACATTTTCTTTTCCGATATTAAAGATTTGATGCAGCTGGAAGAAACTGATCTTATTTTTATTATCAGAATAAAAGACTCAACAGAGGGTCGAATAAGGACATTTGGATACAGTTTCTCTTTATGATGCTAAACAATAGTCATAGCAGGTTTTTCAGTACAAATAATCATTTTACTTTTACTCTCAACATTTTAAAATTAAGTTCCCCAACAGAAAGCATGAAACACAACTAATCACGTTAAAATAAAGTCATATTGTACATTAAATTAAACACCAATCACAACTCCAACACCAAGCAAATTAATGAGCAAATAGCAAATTTTGTATAGCGTCACAAAGTCAACCCACTCGCCACATTGTTGGTGCTTTGTATGGTTTTGTTTGAAAAATGTATAAAAGCCTGGTTGACTTTCCAAAAAAAGGCCATTTTGGAGATTCTGCCTAAATATTCTGTTCTAAAAACCTCTGTAATTGTGCTCTGCTTCACTTTCTAAGACTCAAACCTGGCAGATATAATTTCCACACGTGTTTCTATGCTTTGATTTAGATTTAAATCTGCAACTGCATCATTTCAAAGAGATATTCAGGCGGATTTGATCTTAATTTACTCCGAGCCAGTGACGTACACGCTGATACTTACACATCTGAACAAATGGCACAAGTGTTCCCTTTATTATGACA